CACTAGACTTGTTGCTTATATAAAATAATGATTTCACTCCTATCCGTAATTTTAAAAGCTAAAATGTATTGGGAGACACGATGTGGTATATGTATGGCTTCAAAAATTATTTACTTGCCAAATATTAAGGGCTGTATTTCTGGACATCTTAACTACGTACTAGAGAAGCCCATTACAATTACTTTTTGCAGCAAGCTGGTAAAGAAAAAAGAAAAAAATCCATACACATCTTATTCTGGAATATTTCTTCAAAATAATGAGCCATTCCCATAGAGAAATTTACAGGTACGAAACGAGCCATACACTAATTTGCTATACAGCAAACCAATTACTGATATTAATGCCTGCCTAGACAAAAGTTAATTATTCCACCATCACATTTGTTAAAAATATAAAAATAATGTTTTTTATTTGAAAAGGTGTTAATTTCTTCCTGTAGGCCTGTGTCAGCTTAGACTGAGATATTTTTAATTTCATTTTGTATTGTAAAAAGTGTTCTGTTTTCAAAATTATTGTCAGCCTGGGTTGCCTACGGCAATAAAAGCTACAGATACACTGCATTGATATTTGGGTTTAGGGCAAAGTGTAAGAGCTCTCCTAATAATCCACTTAATACGTTTCAAGCACAGCAAATCTAGGAACTACATTTGCCTTCAAGGGTATATAGGATACTTCGAGTAGCACATCCCCTTTGCCAACATTGGAAGTCTAATAAGAAATGCTGGAGAGCTTTTCTTTCAAACCTTCTTCGAAAGGACCTTTGATGGCTTTCGGCTTCCCTTTTGCTTTCACAGAAAGAAGCTAGGCTTAAATTTCAAGTGAGACTAGTAATTTTTGGATACTCAGCTTCAGCTATTTTGAAGGATGTGATTTTTAAGAAGCTTAGCATCTAACACATGAAAAATCATCTTTTTTAAGACATTGAAACTAGACAATTTTGGAGGCACACAAAATCATGGGCCCCTTCTGAAAATTTAGCTCTGCTCCCCAGCCTTTACCTATCCTACTTGTTTCCCATTCCTTGTTATTCACCATCCCCTATCAGATGACTTTCCAAATTCTCTCCCTGCCACCCAAAAGATATATCCTCCAATGATAAGGACTCAATGTAAAGTAGCCCCCTCCCTGCTTAATTTGCTTCTTTCTCCCCAGGCATACCTAACATTTAGTGCTGGGCAACATTTGCCTTCAAATTAATCTTGGCAGAAACCCTTCATTTTGCAGACCGCAAAACTGAGGCAGACAGTCTTGGCGAAGAGAGCACACGCAGCCAAATCCAATGGCAGCTGGAGATGCTCAAAACTTCAAACTAGTTATAACACAGACCTACGACATTGTCATGGAAGAGATGGACATGGGATGCAGCAAGTTAAGACCTCCTGTCTACAGCTAGGACACTAAACCCACCACAGAAACAAAGGAAGAACACTGCAGTTGAGCTTTTTTTCCTCATGGAGATAGATATACACTAAAGAGATTTTTTTTTTTTTTTTAAATATACAACTTGCAAGAATAGGCAGACCGAGATGGTTTTATCCTGGCTTAGCAAGTCATGGTTCATCCCTGCGATTTTTAGCCTGAAGTATCATATTCTCCCTAAGGCACATCATCAACTCTGTCCCCATCATTAAACACACTGCTAAAAGCTCCAAGGTACAGTAAGGTCAGTTTAACCTTGTAAGGAGTTATAATTGCCTTTTATATCTTAGCATATTATAACATATTATCTAATGGGTTTTAAAAATGCACCTTTTTCCTAGCATACACATATAACAAGCTCACATGGGTCCAACACACCCTCAGTAGACAGACTAGATCCTGTTCCCAGACCCATCTGAACAGAATGCCCCCAGAAGTCAATAATGTGGTGATTCATCCAATAACCTAAAAATTTTCATCCTACAAAATACCACAGAGTAGACAAATTACCCAGAAAATGTTGCACACAGGCTTTTTTTCTTGAAAACTGTCAAATTTTGTGAGATGCCATAACCCTAGATTAACACATACATAAATCCCAAATTGCTGTTCTGTTGCTTTTCAAACTGATAAGGAGAAAAAATTAAAAAGAATCCTAAATATTTCAGTGGTCCTGGAATTAATGCAGTATTGCAACAGATGGCGAGTCAGCTGCCAAAAATTAATATGAAACATAATATTTAATGCATAATGGTTATTTTTCCCTAAAAAGATGCAAGCACACTTTTTTTTTTTCTTCAGTGAAGACAAAGCCTATCGTAATAAAAATCAATCCCTTCCAAAAACCAACAGTTTGGGTACAAGTAAGTGTAACTGCTGAAGAGAGACAGTGGAGACAACTACCTTCAATCACATCTTCAATTCTTTCCCCTTCAAGGAAACGCTTGGGTGTATGTATTTCTTCTTGAGAGAGAACAGTCACAGCAACCTGGAAGCCACACAGCTTCTACATTTAGGAGCAGATACGGATCCAGCCAACACACTGCAAAGAATTTCTGGCTAAACTGAGAAACGGGATGGAGAGCAAAGCTAGACTGTTTTGGTCCCCAAAGTAAGGGAACGCACAGATGGGTCTACTTAGATCTGCAGTAACTACTGGCATGCAACATTTTTGTTTTCCTTAGCTTATTCTCTTTCCTATTAAGAACTATTTTAATTCAGATTGTGTGCTGATTTACAAACCACCACAGTCAATTATGAGTTATCAAGGACCAATAAATTTACAACAGTACTTTTGAGTTTTGCCAGAAACCAGGAAACTTTTTTTCTGGCCACACAGACAATGAGTAAAAGATATTTGCCCTGGGACATTTTGTCAAGTAAAGACTAAAAAAAATCCTGGCTGCAGGCAGTATGACTGTAGCGTACTATACAGTAGGACCATTACTACACTGAGCAGAGTCAGTGACAGTCTGAAAAGTGAACATACCTCAGACAAATGGCAGGAATTGGGGACTGAAGCTCACCAACATTTTGTAGGAAAGTTAAAAGCATCAATCACTTGATAAGTCTGTTACCGGAAGAAAAACACTTCAGTGCTTACAGTGTGAGAGGAAAAGGGAAATACTGACTACTAAAATGAGGATAAAAAGAACTTACTGTCCATCTCATGCTTTTCACAATACACTTCATTTTCTCTTTCACTTTTACTCCTTACCAAGGGTCAAAGCTTTGTCTACACAGCAAAACTAAATCATTGCTGACAAATGGGTGCAGCCAAATGCGATTTCCTTTGTCTACACTTGTAACGAGAGACATACCATTCAGCTGCACCCCTCGTTGTCAACAACTGTCAACAGTGGTTCGATTTAGTGCACCAAGGAGAGCCCAAACAGCTTGGAAAGAATGATTTAAGCTGAGTGGGTCCCACCCGGCTCCTCCAGAACACACACGCAGAACAGCCAATGCAAGAAAAACATTTAAAAATTATTAGGAAAATGAACAGTAAAAACCCACCAGATCTGGCAGGGGGATTGAAAGCATCTGAAGATACTTAAGTGTTTTGACCAAAAAAACCCCAACTGACTTGTCAGTTGCCTGAGTTACAGAGTCACCCATTTCTCCTTCACTTTGTCAGAGAGGAGCCTGTGATAAAGTAAGTCAGTGACAATATCGATATCATCATTGTATTTATTTTACATGGAAAAAAAAATCGTAAGTCTTATGAACTGGAAGAAGACATCACCAATGCTAATTTGAAAGATAGACTGCCACTTGCCCTATAGAAGGCAAATCCAACTAGTGGAGATGGCACTGGTAGAGTCTACCACGACTTTAAATCATGTCGATATTCTCTCTCACACTTTAACAGCCAAAAGAATTACAAATCTGCTTGGATTAATGCAGTACACTGTCATTAGACTGGCAATTAAACCCCATTTCTGAGATTGTGTGATCTCAGTCACCAACATCTGCAAATATCTTTACATCTTGTGTAATAGCTGGCCTCAGATCTTGATACACCAAAGTAAAAAGGCCTTTTTAATGGCTCCCACATTATTTTGGACTTAGAACTTCATGATGACAGCAGCTTCTCAAAACAGCCCATGAATCAAATTTATTATCCAGTTTGTCATGTGGGATTTTCTTAACTCTAAGCCAATACAGCAACAACGAATCAAGGTCATTGTTTGTTACACGAATAAAAATTAACCACCTGTTCAAAAATTTTTCTTTTGACATTGAAAGGTATTTGGTCTCACAGACTTTTGACATATGCAGCATTCACCAGTTCTTCTACACATCTGAGAATACGTGAGAAAACACTCTCCTCTCATGCCAATCTGTCTTGAATTTAAAAAAAAAAAAAAAATTAAATTTGTCAGCCATCCTACTGCTTCCAGCATCAGCAGTTACACACATGAGAAAGACAATTCAATTGCAGCATCCTTGGCCCAGGAACTAATTTCCTCCCCAACAGTATCACTGACTAAACAGATCAGCGATTTTCAAATGATGGTTTAGTGGTAAAAACAGCAGCACAGGAAGATCTTTTTTAGCAGCCATATGGATCAGAGAAGAGACAGCATGTTATGGGCTTTGAAAACAGTCTAGCTCTACAAATCCATTGAAGAACGAAAGAAATACTACCTTCTCCAACCATAGAAGAGGTTATGATAACCATTTCTTTTGTTACATTAGAGCTTAACGATGATGCGTAATAAAAATGTTAAGCATACAGATCTAAATAAGGAATGTTACCTTTAAAAATTCCAGTCAGCTTTTACTTCTTCAATAGTTACTTGCAGTACTTGCCATACCAGAGGAACACCCACTGTTTACAACCAGGAATTATAGAGCATAACCAATAAACACATCACCTAACAGTAACCACAATCAAAGCCAGGAAACTTTGCTTGAAGTGCACGCTCACAAAGTTTCTCTACAGGGTTTCCTTTGAAGCGGACTGCTGCAAGTGACCCAAGGCCATCTACAGCAAGCACCCGCATTCATAGAGCAAGACGGCCACACCAATGCCCCAAGCCATTCCCCACCAGAAGCCGGCATGCTGCGGGCAGTACCTCCTTGATCCGCTTCACGAGCGCATTCTGATCAAAGGCAACCGCTTCTGCACACTGGTGAAGATGATCTTGGTACCGGAGACACAGCTGCAGCACCTGCTGGGGGTCCAGCTTTTCCAGTTTGGTGTTGGTCGGAGAGGTCTGCCCACTGAGGAGTCCTAAAAGGCAAGGGAAGGACCAGAGTTAATCTGACTGTTCATGTAACCGGTTCAGCTGCAAGCCAAGAGGCAGCAGAACGAACCCAGAAGAAAAGCTTTATAAGGGGTAATTAAAAACTAATTCAGGATCTTAGACTACTGAATGGACTTCAGCAATATAATAGTCCAGTGAAGGCTAAAAGCGGAAAGGGCACGGACTGAAGATTTATGGATGTTTAGGATTTATAGCAGAGCAAAGAACAGTTTGCCATACAGCTTAGCCCACCTCGACCAAACTTAAATGCAGGCTCTAACTGCAGGTCCATAACGTATATCAGCTTGGTTTTCAGCGATACGCTGCGTGAGTCCTGTTTCTTCTCCTCCACCGACAGCCCTGAAACTCTGAAAAGTGAACCCCCTTCCTCATTTCTGTACGCCAGAAGGGGAAGGAGTTGAGATCTGCATTCCCGTACGGGCACGGGACTCAAACTATTTTCTGGTATTGACAGCATGATTCTAGTGAGCTCTAAAAAATCATTACAAATTCACAGGTACCCTAAAACAAAACTGAATTAAAAAATGACCCACGTAAGTTAATCTATTAGGGGTGAAAAGTCTGTGTTTTGCCTACCTAAAAAAGGCACTTTTTTAAAAGCTTCAGAACCCTGTCATCTTCAAAGATTTTTCTTTGCAATCTCAAAGACTAGCAATATAGTTGTGTTTTTTTAATATGGAATTAAGATCCTTACCTACTCACATGATCAGGTTTCACAAAAGCTCACCAAAAAAAGGTATTAGACTTAAAATTGGGACACTGGTAATATCCAGAGGAGCAAAATTGTGCAGAGAAATTTCCCCTGCCCATTGTTTGTTGCCTACATAGTGCAACTTGAGAACCTTTGCTGAGCTCAAGCATACATGTGCCATACTGACCGCTTTCCACAAAGCTGCTGGAAAAAATGATGCTAAACCCTAAGGCCATCCTTGTTTTGCTATTTCATTTACTTACTTTCATTTCATTTTCCTTCAGCATTAGCACAACTTTTTTTTCTTGTTGGGACACCATCTGTGACAAGGAGCACATACACACAATCTGCTTTTCCCAAAACATCCGTCAAGCTATGTAAACTGAATTCAGTGACTGCATGCATGTGCCCTTTGGGGCTCTCAGTTTACAGTCAGGAAAAGACATTAAAACAGCAAATGTAAGCAAGTACCACACTAAGCAATTAAAAGAAAGTAATAAATGCCAGTTATTTGGATTGGAAAAGTTCTTCTAAGAACGCACCTCAGTGGGAAATGGAAACTATTTTGGATGGCCCCCATGCCTATTGGAAGCTACAAGTTGTGACACAGAGTTCTTGCCAAAACACAAGAACAAGACAGAAACCAAGACGTAAGTCAGGAGTATCTTATGAATTTGAGAAAGTTAAATCTCTTTGAAAACATTTGCAGACAGAAATGCAAACAAAACTAGGACAGCAACTTCATCAGATACGATGAAGTACATTTACTTTTCATCAACACCCAACATTTTATTCTCTCAGGATGCTCTCTATTACCCTTCACAGAAAAACTTTTCTTTCCTCATCTTAAGAGGGAAAAAAAAGATAATTTTGTTTTACTGACTTGTTGCCCACTACAACTGCACTGTCTGAGTCAAGAGGTCAGGAGAGGAAATGGACACTTAACCATTTAGTCTCAAAACCCCATATTAGCAATAGTCAAATTAGTCTTTATGTTTTAGAAAGAATCATCTCAAACAAAATCTTAGGTCCAGCAATATCAATTGCAAATCTTTCAAGACTTGCACTTCAGCTGAAAATAAACTTTAACGGGAGCAAACCCAATGAAGGAAATAAGACTTTTTTTAAATGTACACATTACATGTTCTAGCGCTTCATCAGTTTGTTAATTCTGATCTTCTATAAAATTATCTTGTCAGGATAAGTGTTCAAATAATGTTGTCAACTTTTAATATGTTGAATGTTCACACAGGAATGAAGAGTTCACCATACACCTGAGGCGGTTATCCTGTTTCTGCACTGATCAAATACATGATGCTATCAACCAACTAATTTTCTTTTATTACTAATCTCTCACCAACTTCAAGAGAAGGAAGAAAATTAGACTCTATTTAAGAGATTTAATTAACATGAAGTGTGTATTTTGGCCAACTTAACACTGCTTATGAGAATTTTGAAGTGGAATAGGCCAAGGACTGTAAAATGAGCTATAAAGGAACATACTATCAAACTTATATTATGTACTTACAACCTTGTACAGGTTACATAATGCTAAAAGCAAAATTAGTAAACTGTAAGGAGCCTCTAATTCACGATCCAGAAAAACACAAGCTCAAGTGAAGGGAGACATACACTGTTCAGCTGCAATTCCTTCATAAGACAGAGGTGGAAATACAATCCAGTACAAATGTTTGGAGTAGCGATAAAAAACAAACAGCATATGCTGCTTAAAGATATAGACTATGGTATTATTCTGGGTGATGCAGCAGGGAGAAGCCAAAGGAATTAGCTTCTCCAAAGACCTCTGGGCTTATGCTGACAATGCCAGAGAACAATTCAGCTTAGAGTTTCAACTTGCAAGAAAGGAAAAAGCAGAGTAAACAGCATGAAAAAGGCCATGCAGCCTTCCACCTAGCAGAAATTCCCATTGTCAAAAAGTTGATTCACCATTTTCTGTTGTTCACAGTAACTACTTACTACCCACACTATAAATATTAACATTTTCTTAACATTAACATCCCCCTCTACTCCGCTCTGGTGAGACCCCACCTGGAGTACTGTATCCAGCTCTGGGGTTCCCAACACAAGACAGACACCGACCTGCTCGAGCAGCTCCAGAGGAGAGCCGCAAAAAACGGTCAGAGGGCTGGAACACCTCTCCTATGAGGAAAGGCTGAGAAAGTTGGGGTTGTTCAGCCTGGAGAAGAGAAGGCTCCAGGGAGACCTCGTGTGGCCTTTCCATACTTAAAGGGGGCTTGTAAAAGAGACAGAGAGAGACTTTTTACCAAGGCCTGTAAGTGACAGGACAAGGGGCAATGGTTTTAAACTGAAAGAGGGTAGGTTTAGATTGGACATAAGGAAGACTTTTTTTACAATGAGGGTGGTGGAACACTGGAACAGGTTGCCCAGAGAAGTTGTGGATGCCCCATCATTGGAAGTGTTCAAGGTCAGGTTGGCTGGGGCTTTGAGCAACCTTATCTAGTGGGAGATGTCCCTACCCATGGCGAGGGCATTGGACTAGACGATCTTTAAAGGTCCCTTCCAACTCAAATTATTCTATGGTTCTATGATTTTATTAATTCACTGCATTTTATTTTTTAGCAAGTCAGTAGCTTTGCTCCAAAAGAGCAGATGGCAACAGTAAGTCATCTTGAAACTTCATGGAAGAGAGACTGCAACCACTCAGATCCCAGAGAGGCTTTAGCAGGGAAGCCCAGGGGGTAGAAACAGAGAGATGCAGGGCTGGAAAGGACCCCCCGTGCCACAGAACCCAGATGTCTTCCCTTCCTCCTCTCCCCAGCAGCAGGCAGTGAGCCCAAACAGGTTTAACGCAATACCTCCTCCATGAGCTCTGCACTTAAGAGACAGCAGCATACTGCCCTATACCCATGAAAAACTTGAGACCCACAGGAAAAAGTCTGAACCAAAAGTGAGACACAGAAAAGGGTAGAGAGTTAAAAAGGGTGTTGCCAGTGTCATTTATTCCTATACTAACAGAAAGTTGAGGAGGTTATCTAAAAGCCTCTACAATTCAGCACTGAGAAAGCTTCATTTTTAGAGCAGAGAGATGGCCAGCACTGCGAACCTCCAGGTATTATTAAACAACTCCCCTCTTGAAAATCACTGCTTCCTTCTTAAAGTCTTGTCCCACACTTTGAACTCTCCACTGATCAGGGCCATCCCTCAGTGACTGGTCTACACGCGGTTTGTAAGAGGTTATGAGATCATATCTGTTGCAACAAAATATTAAGTCGCTCTTACAAGTGCCAAAAGGGGAAGAGACAGAGGTCTCACAGTGGTTCAGGCTCACTCCCGAAACAGCCAGAACTTGAACCTGGTCACCAGCACATCTCAGAGCAACTAACTGCTGAGCTACTACCTGTTCTTCACTGAGGAAAGGGTGTTCCTGTGATTTCATCTGTGTGATTATGACTCCCTGCCCCCCAAGAGCACAGTTCTGCTCTTGAATGGAAAGAAAACAGCATCTAAAGTTTTAATTTCTTATTAAATTGAATACTCATTTTTCAAGCTGTTGGTTCTCTTCCAAAGAAGGAAGCACACCAGGAATCATCTTTGCATTGTTTGAAACCTCGAGAAGAGACTGCTTGGCACACGAGTGATGCAACATACCCCAGCGTGATAAGGAAAGGCAGCATGGAGGATATCATGGCCTGGGGAAAACAAAACCGGGGAAACGGGAGAAGGTCTACTGCAGAGCTTTAGTGCATGGACCAAAAATGCTTTGGCAACTGCCAAACATGCACAGTCTTGGCTATCAAATTACATCATAAAACAAGTAAGAAGACAGACCACATTATGTGCCTGCCATGGTGAAAAGAAGTCAAGAGCTCCAACCTACTCTGGATACATCTGATCAGAAAACAGCATGCCCATGAAGGTGATAAACAACAACTGGGACAAAGAAAGATTCACATTTCAGCTCCTAAATGGTGCTTTAGAAAAAAAACCCCAATACACCAAGTATGTCGTGCATAGAGAAGTATCATATATCACTACAAGCCTAGCTGACCCACAGACTTGACAAATCTGTTATTATTTCCATATTCCTTGGCAAAGTAGAAGCATGTTAAAACCATTTTCCTCCTACTTAGTCATCTCCTTGTTGGTTCCAGGTCAACATACACTTCCAACAAATCACATCCTACTGAGCAGAAGAAAGCTGTTAGTTTAAAAAGCATTTTTATGACGAGAAGTTAAGTTCTTGAAAAAATGCTTTACATGCTATACTGATTCTACATACACACAGAACATAGT